TAAAATGCCATATGTAATTTCATATACTATATATAAATAAATACATGCCAATAAATGTTTTTATTGTTTGCAAAGACCAGAGAAAAATATTTTTTGCGAGAGGGAAGAATCATTTAATTTTAGAGCAAAGTAAATGTATTACAAATGAGGCATTCAGAACCCTTTGGTTTCATGAATATTCTATCTTGATAATGGACAGCTATGCTTTTATGAACTTCTAAAAATCAGCCAACTTTGGTCTGAGCTGGAGTTATTAAAAGTAAAGAACAGAGGAAACAGACTCATTCCTTCTGCGGGGTCTTTTCAGTGTGGAATTACAGTGTTTTCTCATCAACCCTTCAGGAGCTTATGCGAAGATCCCACTGGTCCTATTGATATTAGTTTTCTTTTAATAAAAATATTCTTTCCATTGTAATTCATTTTTAAAAAATGTGTAATTTTAAAAAATAATTTTTTAAATTTTATAATTAGTTTGAATATAATATTATACTACTTTCAGGTGTACAACATAGCGATTAGACATTTATATAACTTACAAAATGATCACCCTGATATATCTTGTACCCACCTGACACTACACATAGTTATTACAATATTATCAACTATATTCTCTATGCTGTACTTCACATCCTCGTGAATATTTTCTAACTGGCAATGCGTTCTTCTTAATCCCTTCACCTTTTTCAACTTTCAACTCCCTCCCATCTGGCAACCATCAAAATGTTTTCTGTATCTATAAATTTGTTTCTACTTTTTTTATTTTCTTCTTTCGATTCCACTTGTCTGTCTCTGTCTGACTTACTCCACGCAGCATGATACTCTTTAGGTCCACCCATGTCATCACAGATGGCAAGATTTCATACTTTTTTTATGACTGAGTAATATTCATATATATATCACCTTTTCTTAATCCATTCATCTGTTGATGGACACCCAGGTTGCCTCCATATCTTGGCTATTGTAAATAATGCTGCAATGAACGTATGAATTCACACGTGCCTTCAAAGTACTGTTTTGCGTTTCTTCGGATAAATGCCCAGAAGTGGGATCATTGGGTCCTTCTTTGTCTCTTGCTATAGCCTTTGTTTTAATGTCTATTTTGTCTGGTATAAGTATTGCTACCCCAGTTTTTTTGTTTGTTTGTTTCCATTTTCATGAAACATCTTTTTTCATTCTTTTACTTTCAGTCCCTGAACACCTTTCAATCTGAAGTGAGTCTCTTATAGGCAGCATATGTAAGGGTTCTCTTTCTTATCCATTCGGCCACCCTATATTCTGATTGGAGCATGTAATTCATTTACATTTAAAGTAATTGTTGATAGATATATAGTTATTGCCATTTTATTATTCATATTTTTTATCTTTTTTCCCTTTTTCTTCTTCTTAAAGAAGTCTCTCCACCATCTCCTGTAATACTGGTTTGGTGGTGATGAACTCTTTTAGCTTTTTCTCGTCTGAGAAGTTCTTTATTTGTTCTTTGACTCTGAATGATAGCTTTTCTGGATAGAGTAATCTTGGTTGTAGGTCCTTGCTTTTCATCACTTTGAATATTTCATGCCAGTCCCTTCTGGCCTGCAACATTTGTTGAGAAATCAGCTGACAGTCTTATGACAGCTCCCCTGTAGGTAGCTAATTGCTTTTTCTTGCTACTTTTAAGATTCTCTCATTGTCATTTAAACTTTGGCATTTTAGTTATGTTGTGTCTTGGTGTGGGCTTCTTTGGGTTCATGTTGTTTGCGAACCTCTGCACTTTCTGGGCTTGTGTGTCTATACCTTTCATGAGGTTAGGGACATTTTTTGTCATTATTTCTTGAAATAGATTTTCAAACCCTTGCTTTCTCTCTTCTTCTGGTACCCCTATGATGCTAACGTTGGTATGCTTGATGTTGTCCCAGAGGCCTCTTAAAATATCTTCATTTTTTTTTCTGTTGTTGTTCTGACTGGCTGTTTTCTGCCACCTTATCTTCTGAATCGCTGATTCATACCTCTGCTTCATCTAATCTACTGTTGATTCCTCCTTAGGTATTCTTCATTTCAGTTGCTGTATTCTTCATTTCTGATTGGATCGTTTTTATGTTTTTTAATCTCCATATTTATGTTTTTATCTCTTTCTTAAAGTTCTCACTGAGTTCATCCACTCTTCCCCTAAGTTTATTGAGCACCCTTATAACCAGGGTTTTGAACTCTGCATTTGGTAGATTGCTTGTCTCCATTTTATTTAGTTCTTTTTCTAGAGCTTCATTCCATTCTTTCATTTGGGACATATTTCTTTGTCTTATCATTTTGGCTGCCTCCCTGTGTTTGTTTTTACATATTAGGTAGGGCTGCTATGTCTCTCAGTCTTGGTAAAGTTGCCTTATGTAGTAGGTGTGCTGCGCGGCCCAGTGGCACAGTCTCCTTGGTCACCTGAGCTGGGTTTTCCAAGTGTGTCCCTTGTATGGGTTGTGTGTGCCCTCCTGTTGTGGAGTGATTAACCCCCAGACTGATTGGTTGTGTGTACTGGTCGTGACCACTGAAGGAGCTATTGTGCTGGGGCTGACCCTATTTAGCACGATTCACTTTGGCAGGGCTCTGGTGCCTGCCCAGTCTTCCCTTTGGGTGTGTCATCCTCAGATGTGATCCCCGGTGATGCTCCAGCTCAAACTGAAGCCAGCCACCAGACATGCAGGCCAGGGCCTCTTGAGAGGGGCCCTGACGCAGCCCAAGTTCAACTGCAGCCTGTGCCCTGCCCACGGTCACTTGGCATGAGCAACTAAGCAATCCATAGATGGCTGCCACCCATGCTGGGCTTGGAGGTACCTCAAGAGGCCAAAATGCAAACCGAGTCCAGCAGCCGCTAGTGCCCAGCTTGGGGCTGCTCAGCAGAAGGTACGAGGCATGCTACAGCCAGATGCTGCTTGTTTGGGTTTTGTGAGCCTTTGAGAGATTATAGGAAAGTCTATAGCATGAGCCAATACTGTTGCAGGAAGCAACACCCAATGGAGGAAATTGGACATTCAGAAAACTTTGTTAGAGGAAGGAGGATTTATTGGTCCACGGAGTGCATAAGGTTAACAACACCATGCACGATCTCCCCTTGGTTAGATTTATTACAGTTTATATAACCTTGCAGTGTCGATGCAAGGGGCATGTGATCCCTTTGTCTGAGGTTCTACGTGCACTTCGTGACTCAGGACGGGAGGGAGAGCTTCAGGTGGGGGGCTGTAAGAGGGGAGGAATTTCCAGACCACTGGCCATATCTATGTACAGGTTATTTTGCCTTGTAGAACCCACGACTTTGGTGTTATCAACACTGTTATAGGAGAGAGGGAACACTGAGGCTATAAGCAGAAAGTAGCACTTATTAATGTCGGCACTGGCTCAGCGGATTCCTATCCAAAGGCTGAGCCCCAATTGTAACATAACAAGTAGTTTTACGCAGACTTGTTTCTACACAGCTACAGAGATTAGGAAGAACGTTAGTTGGATAACAAGCTGTGAATCAACAGATGTGAGCTGGAGGGTCCTTGAGGTGGGGGACATAGCTGCGGGAAAACATGTGAGCTGGAGAGTCCTGGAGTGGGGAGAAGGCAGTCAGGAAAGGACTTTAACCGGCTGAGTCGGTCATTTCCGCAAGCACTTTCCTTTGCATTTTCTATATGCCTCCTCTCCTCTCTTAATACAGGCCATTTGTATGGAGAAGCCACTGGAAGTTGCTCGTGTGGGCCTGCAAGTTGAGAGGAGCAGGGTATCAGGGAATGAACTGGGTGGGTGCACGTGTCAGCCTGGTTGATAGACACTCAAATATGGTGGCCGCCTGCATGCCGAGAGAGGGCAGAACTCAACAAAGGAACAATGGCTCCTGCCAGCACTTTTATTTGGGAAAAAGCAGCCCCTCCAGCCCTCACCCTGAAGCCAGACAACTCAGTCCCTCCCCGTGTGTTCCTGGTGCCTTTGAAGCTGCTGCCCCAGCACTGGAGCTCAGCGCCAGGGAGTCCATTAGCGGTGAGTCTGCGCAGTGACTTAAAAAAGAGTGTCTGTGGCTTCCCCAACCCTCCAACTCAGACACAATCTCCACTTGTTTTCACACCCAGAAGTTGTGGGGACTTCGTTTGCTGGCACTGGAACCCCGGGCTAGGGAGTCCGGTGTGGGGCCAAGACCCCTTGCCACTCGGGGGAGCTTCTGCAGCCAAGATGTCCCTCCTGATTCTCAACTGCCTCGCGCAGGTGTAGGACCAGCCC